AGAGAGTGCAGCGAACGCATTAAAACATTTATAGCATTTTTCAGTTAAAAATAACATGACAACTGATAACAGCATGCGATAAGGATCATCTAATAGCAAAATATTTCAATACATAACAGCACTTCTGTAAAAAGTTATAGATCATATCCCATTATGCCCCGCCGTTCCGTTATGCCCCAGGTTCCCCTACATACGCGTTGCGGAAAATGACGCACGTGTTTATTTACTTAATACTTTAAGAAAATATTATGTAATTCGTAAATAGCTTTTTCTTAAAGATAGTGTGATATAATTTATTGCAAAAATAGACTTTGTAAGATCTTATTTAAAAATATATTTAGTTGAGGATATGAGTGTGTAGAAACTATTTGTTATGTTATAGTTTATAATAAGTTGCTACACATTACTATATCGTAAATTCAAAATGTACATAAAAATGAAGTGTGAAAAGAAGAGAACGCGATAACTGAAGGTAATAGAAGTGTTAACCTTTAGAATTTTATCAATCGAGTTTGCATTAATCGAACAAAATCAATGACCATGCAGTGTTGAGCGGAATCTCGTGAGACGTTTCGGCTTCGAAGCACATTTACGAGCTTGCGAATTTAATTCGCGAGAAGATTTACTAGCATGTCAAGGTCAGACAATTACCTGCTAATCGATATCTCGCAAAACCAGATAAGTGGAGCAAACACATACGCGACGTGATCGTACAATTTCTTACCCGCAATTCAATGTACAGCATTCAAATAAAACGTATTTAATCGTATCTGCCAATCCGTCTATCTATCTTCTGTTTGTCTATCTATCAAGTTATCCGCCTGTTTCAATTGTTTCTCTTCTGACGCATTGTCGCGGTGACGATATTGTCAAGCTTCAATATTGCTAAATTTGTGGGCTTGCGAATCTGGTGTTGAATTTTCCTAACCGATCTCGTCTCTCGCTATTTATTTATTATTCTATAAGCATTCTCCAATATGAACAAACACACGGCTGCTTTTTATATTAAAATATATGTATCTAATATATCCGAAATATTACGTCACATGTGACGTAATGATTTGAAGTATTATGTGAGTCGACTGAGTGCAATGCAATATATTGCGGAACATTTTCTGTGCGAACCGTTTGTCATTTTATTTTTCTACTTGTGTCTTCATCGTTGAAAGAATATACCCATCAAGGAAATGATAGCTCTTGCTATATCGAAAGTCCGGAAGCCTTATAAACTGATCCTGTTAGATTCTCGAGAATTGACCTCGGGAGAGTAAAACTTATTGCTAGTGTATGCCATGAAAAATGCTTCACAAAATATACACACACATGGCTTTCCGATTATTTTTATTTCAATTTGTGTAGAAATATTTTTGTTACAGATGTTAAAATATGTATTAAAATTGTATTTTTGTTAAGTATTACGATAATAATGCATAAATCAGTATTTTGTTAGTGTTTTACCAGTATATGTATTATGTATAACATAAAATATTAATTTGATGATGCATAATTAATATTTAATATCGTTGCTGTTTTAATAAGTAGGTAGTTAATAAAATTAATAAAATTAGAAATTGCAAGTTAATCTAATTTATTTAGATATCAAAGGACAAGTAACTTTATTTTTCGATATTCTATCATCAATTAATAGATAAATTTCTCAATGTTAATACCAAACGAATAAAATTTTGAATGGATATTTTCTGTTGCAATTTTAATATTCTATATTTTGCTTGAATGCGACAGATAAATTTTGAAAGTACGTTTTGAGATAATTCGCCTAAATATAGACTCGTTATAAAACCGTAGGAAAATATATTTGTCATGTACGTGCATAAATGTATATACATTAAAAATACACATTGTACTTAAAAATAGGAACTAAATAAAATGTGGCATATTTGATTTGTATTATTTTAATATTCTTTACCCTTTTTAAATCTTTTCTTGGTAATCAATTTCTTTCATTTTAAATTTCATTTAAAGAATTGGCAATAATTATTATCTCTACTTTATCTCTATATGTGCTATTCGTGCATTTATTCTTTTATATTCTCTACGGAGTATAGAATTATCCAAATGTTATGTTACTGATTATATATAATACATCAAACAGAATGAAATATTGTAATTTGTAATTCTGTTGGATTCATTAATTATACCTTCGCGTAAAAAAACCAATTTTCAGTGGCGCCAATGCATTTTTAATCATAACAGTTCGGACAACTCTGGATTGCTTTTAATTTTCAATGAAAACTATTCGCTGCAGGCTTTTGAAATATTATTTCAATCTCTCTCCCTCTTTCTCTCTATCTAGACGACCGTTATCCTCGTTTTCAGAGAGCCGCACATATAATGCGATCCAATCAACTTAATCCGCAGTATCAAAGCATTTGGGATCCAAGCGGCCTGATTCGAATGTTAATGAATGCGAGGAGCACGTTCCTGGGGGTTTCGCGCGATTGTATCCAAACAATTCGTTAGTAACTAACGAGACCCTCGTTACCGGCTACGTGACGGCAAGAATGATTGGAGTAAAAAGCGCGAGACAGTGAGTGATATCTCTCTATCTCTCTCTCTCTTCCGCGTAAGCTCAATCGTCATAGCTTAAAACCGAACGACAAATCCCATCCCGTCCCAGCAACAGGTTGCACTCGACACTAATTTGCGAGATTGTCGTCCCGCGTCCGCCCAATTAAGACTCTTAAATCGACTTCGAACTAGTTTCTTCCGAATGCAAGACGGCGTGGCTGGGTAGAGGGCGATGGGTCATTGTCATAAATCAGCACATCATTTTGAAGATACACATGGATTGTTACATATTATTGTTTTAAACAATTAATAAAGTTTTATCTTGAAGAGAAAGTCTTTGGAACAGTTAAGTTTTTCGGAGGCAAAGAGCGCGTTTCTAACTTCCTTTAATAATATTAGAACAAGCACTGCTTCTACCCTCGTCGTTCGCCAATTCAATTTTCTATCCTTATCGAGCGCATAAAGCGTATGTTCTGGAAAAAGTTGAGATCGCACGCGGGGAATTGTCTGCCTCGCCGCTATTTTTTCATCTGCGAGCGGAAAAGCCGACTGATTATCATACTTGGCGAGCGGGCAACGGCGGTCGTATTAAAAGTTGCTCGAATAGTTGGGCGAAGCGTTTCCTCGAATACACAATTTAAACTTAAGCGGAAATGCACATCCTTACTGGCCGCAATCCCGCATTCCTGCCATCGCGGCGGACCGTCGAGGGAAGGGTTGATGGAAAGGGCTGGTTCGCGCTGGTTTCTCGCGTCAAGTACGCAAGAATGCCAATCTCGGTGGTAGAACGCGAGAAGTCTTCGGAAAAATAAAAGGAGAACACTCACAGGAGGAGAAAGGAAATGGAAAGCAGAAGGACAAAGGGGCGAAAACTTGGCCGAAAATGCCCTGAATGCATGTATTTATAATATTTATAGAGACCGAATCATGCTACGAGCAGATATTCTGTTATCATTATCGCGCGCGATGCAAAGAGGATATTAGATAAGGGGAGGAAACCTATCACCAAGCTTTGCATTACAATTTTCTAACTAATAAAGTATATAAAAGCTTGGGCGAGTAAGAGATCTACAATTTTCCAACTAATAAAAGATATGTAAGCTTAGGAGAACAAGAAGTCTATAAATGATGCTAAGTGTATTATTTAAGATATAATGAAAACATAATTTACGTACAAGTTTTCGAAAAAAATTTTGTTTCCGCAAAACTTTTTTTGGAGTTAACAGTTTCACTTGTAACGAATTTTTTTTTCTCGCGATCCACTTTTATATGGAGGTATATCACGATACCGTACGTCCAGCGATACTCGACGTTGCACATGCAAAATAAAAATGTGGGAGGAAAATCCTGTGTAGTCCACTTTCCATGATTTACCCTGGCATACGCGCACACAAACATGTCTCTCTCGGTCTAGCTGATGTATACGCATGCCCTCGCAGGCACAGTATCCGAGATAATTTGGATTCGCCGAGTGGAATATAATTTAATAAAACTTTACCGCGCGGAATTCGCATTAGCTACGCATTACCTTGGCTCT